CTGGTTATTCAATGTTCAGACACAATTTCATGTTGCAGAATGCATCGTAGGAAACTAGGGCTGGCTTGCCCAGAGCAATTCCGCTCCAAGGAAGCCCATTGCAGGTGGGGAAGCAGCTGGCCGCTTGGGGCCATCCTTGACCACAGATATTGCTGTGTTCCTTGTGCATATGTTGATGTAGAACCTGACTGGCTTGCTGTTGCTGGATTTTTATTTTACCACCTGCTTCATTTTCTTTATTGGAGCTTGGGAACAAAGACCAGACCCATGAGGGGAAAGCCTCATTATTCTCTTATTGATCTGAGATTTAATAGAGAGAGCAGCAATGATGTATTCTTTGAACTAGAGCATGTTTATTTTTTTTTTTCCTGGCCCTCGCCTAGTAGGAGTTCCGACTCCTCCTGCCCATCAGAGAGACCACAGTCACGTGAAGACCAGGAGAGGCAGTGGGAGGACATTGGGTTCCATCACAATGGCTGGGGTAGCCTGGAAGTAGGGCTGTCCTGTCAGTCCTGACTCCCCCAGCTCCAGCAGGGCCTGAGGAAGAGGGGTTACATAAGGAAACATTTACTGCCACTTTCTCTGCTTTCTGTGGAGTGGGAGTGCTTTTCTCTGTCACCAGGCTGGGACCTGGGGAGCAGACAAGACAGGTTTCTCTGCTGGGGAAGGTGGTGCTCTGAGCCCCAACAGGAACAGGCCACCTGCCCCTCTTTCCTGTTCCCCCTGTTCCCATCCCCAAACCGAGAGCCCCCAGCAGCCTTCGACCCAGTCTCTGAGCAGCTCTGGGCATCCCAGATGCCCAGTCCGACGATGCTTACAAAGAGTACACACATGCTCATCCTTCAGAGCCCTGCTTCCTCTGAGTCTCTGTTTATGGGGATGGAAAATCTGGCAGTGATTGTCAGTGCTGGCTGCACAGCATGATTAATGTAATTGGTAACACTAAATTGTACACGTGAAAAATATTGGCACATGTTATGTTTATTACATATAATATTACAACAGTAAAAGAAAAAAAGTTTTTAGCAAGTTTTTAACTATCCCCCCTCCAAAAAACAAAACAAAAAAAACCACCCACTTCCATGCCAGTGCAGCACCTCCCTAGCCCACAGCAAGCTGGCTTCTGACCCAGCATTCTGTATATCACAGGTAAGTGAATTAGCAAACTGAGGGTGGTAGGAGTCAGATGGGAAGCAAGGCCTTGTGGGTAACAGTGGAGCAGACTGTTGAGCCAGATTGTCCTCAGTACCCACACTGTTGTCCATACTGTCCTGTGATGACAGAAATGTTCTATTTCTGTACTGTCCAATACGCGCTTCTAGCCAGGTATGGCTTTTGAGCTCTGAGATTGTACTCCTAGAATGAAGTTTCACAGAGTTTTTCAGCACCTGCTATCTGCACCCACTTCCCCAAGGGGGGGGGGGCGCTTATCCAAGGTCACGTGTCCCTCTTTGCCCATCCCTTTGCTGAGCAACCACATCCCCAGGGACACCCTAAGTTGAACCAGCTCCCTGGAGAGCAGGTGTACCAGCCTGGCACCTGGGCAGGAGAAGGGGACCTGGCACCCCTGAGGTCTGGAAGAGGGGAGCCACAGAGTCAGTTTAGCCTGGACTCCAGTTTCCCACCAACTACCTGTGTGCTCTCAGTTGGTTTTTTTAACAGCTCCAAGCCTCAGTTTCCTCATCTGTATAATGGAGATCATAGCATTTCTTTGATGCTTTCTTACCAGGGTCACAGTACCTGGCACAGATAATAACCCAATAAATAGCAGCAACTGATGTTTTATTCCCTCCTTATTCCAACTGCATCATCTCATCCCCAGGCTGGGGCAAGGCAGTGCATGGGGATCGCATACCACGTCTCAGGGCTTCCAGCCTTTGTTAGCCCACAGCCAGAGTGACTTCCAGGGGTCATTGTTTAGGAAGCAGTATCTGTTTATGATGATAGAAAGTTTGGCAACAAATACTGGTGGATGGTGACACATGATGCCTGTGATTGGTGTTGCTGATTATTCATGTAGAAAACGTTAAATCGGCAAAAGCCATACCGCCACAGCTCCTTATTGAAGCCTGTACACAGGTAAAAACGTCACATCTGAGAAGACCACACTCGTTTTCACATGTGAACTGTGCATAGGAGGGAGTGAATGTTCATAAGGGAGCAAGGCAAAGTGGCTTCAGCAGCTCTCCCGGAGGAGGAGGTCACATCGTGGGTTTATGGGGATCCTACCCTGGAAATGGGTCCCTGGCGGTGCAAACAATTAAGTGCTCAATTGCCAAAAAGTTGATGTTGGAACCCCCCAAGAGGCACCTCAGAAGAGATCTGGTGAGCTGCATGTGAAAGGTCCCAGACTTGAAAACCTATGGAGCAGTTCTGCAAGCATGAGGTCACCATGAGTTAAAATTGACTTGACAACAGCTAACAACAACAACCTTGAAGGTAGAAGGATGGGAGTGTCGAAGAGGAAGAATGTCCCAAGACCTCCTGTTGGGTTCCAAAGAGACTCCTGTAGAGAGGTTGAACCTCAGCCCAGCAAAGATCCCAAACCCAAGCCTAGCGTAGAAGTGGCCACCCGCCTGTCATTCAAGGATTCATGGGAGCTTGTAGGGCAAGCAGTGTACCAGTGAGCAGCATGGACCCTCCCCAGATGTGCTGGGCAACTGAAGACCCCAAGTCTGGGACCTTCCAGAGACCTGGGGAAAGCTGATATGGCTGGATAGATTTTCCCAGCAGCCAGAGAGAGGGACCAGAGTTTGGAGCAGACTACATTTTATTTGGAGAGTCTACAATAAATGTGCCATTCTCAACATTAGTATTGGATGGTAGCAAACCTATGTCCCCCACGAGTATCTCATCGTTTCCCTTCCGCTGCCTGCTGGCTCCCTCCCTCCTGCAACGCTGGGCTCAGCCACCCCAATCAGGCAGGTGACGACATGCTCTGGGAAGCCAAGTTGCTGACATTTCCCTCTCAGTGGAGCAGCATGCTCCTTTCTCAGTTGGCAGTCTACATAAAAGGCCAAGCAGCAGATCCAGCTCCCCTAGCACGGGTGCAGGAAAAAGCCCCCACCCCTCAGGGATGGGCAGCTGCCCCCATGGCAGGAAGATTGATTAGCGGTTGGTGACGCAGTTCTTCAAGGAGAAGGAGGCATCCCTGAACTGGGATCTATCTTGGTTAGCTGGGAACAAGTGTCAGCCCCATCAAGGGCCCCCTCTGCCTGCCATGGGCTTCATGGTGGCCTTTCCTATCACTGCTTGTTGCTGTGGGTTCAGAGGAAGCAAAATACGTATTTAGAAGTGATGAGGTTACACAATGCTGTAGAATGAAAAGTACTGTGGAAATTAGGTTCTGGCTGTTTACATGTCTGGAAAAAATTGTGTCACGGCTAAAGGGTCTAGCGTTGTGGCGTTGTGGGTTAATGCACTGGACTGCAAGGTCAGTTTGAACTTCAAGGTCAGTGGTTCAAGCTCACCAGCCACTCCTTGGAAACTCTATACGGGGTCACTATGAGTCTGAACTGACTCAACAGCACTTAACAAAGGTTCTAGAGGCGCCTGGGTCACGTAGCAGTTTGTGATTGGCTGCTGACATAAAGGCTGGAGGTTTGAACTCACTCTACAGAACAAAAGTCCTGGCAAATGGCTTCCATAAAGATTGCTGTAAGATGCTGTTAAGTCAATCACGCCTTGTATTACACTGTCACCCAGTCCTATGCCACCTCACTAGCGTCGGTATGTGTGAGTTCACTGTCGCAACAGGTGTGTCCGTTCATCTTACTGAGCTCGTCCCCTTTTTTGTTGACCTACTTCACCAAGCATGATGTCCTATTAGAGCCAAGAAAACTCTATGGGACAGTTCTACTTTGTAATGCATGGGGTCACCTTGAAAAGACTCAAGGCAAATGACAGCAGCAAAACATCTGGTGACCTTTTCTTACTAGCTGTGTGAACTTAGGCAAATTCTTCAAGTCCCAGAGACCTCATCTGCAAAATGGGTCTGATTGGTACATAATAGGGTTGTTGGTGTGGTTGAATGCAGTATTGGGGCTGAGTCTAGAGTAAGTGCTCAAGTTACTACTAGAATATCTGCTTAGCACATCCATGAGGCCTTTTATGGCATGTACAAACGTTTGTTGTCTTTGTTGGGTAACGTTCTTTCCTGCCCGTGCGTTCACATAGCAACACGATTTGAAGGTTAAGAGCATATAATATTCTGTCGTGTTTGCCTGGATCCTCCTGTTTGTGCTGTTTCTAGTTCTTTGCTGTTAAAGATGATACAACTGTGAATATCAGCAAGTTTTATTACTCTGTGTGATTCTGACAAAGCCTAATTGTAGGTGTGAATCAATATCATGAGAAGCATTTATTGTGCCCCAAAGCCAATCAAGGTTTTGAGGATTACCTGTGCCTTTTGCTATAGATGCCCTCTTCCCTTGGAAGATGCAAAAGTGAACCTTGAATGGTGCCCAGCTACCATTAAGAGTTTGATCAAAGATTCTATAGACAAATCCTTATCAAAAGGTGGGGAAATGTAGAACAGAACTTCAAATTCATAGAGTCTAGACTTTCTGGAGCCATTGAGGCTGGAGGAATCACTGAAACTATTGCCCTGACATAATCTTCTAACCTTCAGCCAAAAATATCCCCTGAAGAGTGGTTTCCTTTAACTTGTAAAGAATGTCTGCCTTGAACATGTACTTTTAAATTTATCAATATGGGATCAAACTGACAACAGCAACACAAAAGATTCGATATGAAGCTTGGGGGCAGGAATTTATGTTAACAGGGGAGGAACAATTCAGAAAAGGAGAGGGAGAAAGGTTACACAACTTGAATATAACCATTGTTGCTGAATTGGATAAGTAGAAAGTGTTGAATCGGTGTATGTTCAGTTGCATATAGTTTCAACAACAACATAAAGTAAAATAAATTACAGCTTTCCTATCCCCTTAGCTGAAAAGGAATCAGCTAAAGTGTTTACATTCCCATCTCCTCTCTTGTAGAAAGTCTGCACCAAATGTGGGATCGAGGCCTTCCCAGGACAGAAGCAGCCCTTGTGGCTCTGTAAGATCTGCAGTGAGCAGAGACAGGTAGGATGCTCTCCCGGCACACACAGGGGTATGGTGGGATGGGGCTGGGCCAGAGTTGGGCACATTCATTTAGGGGGAAGTGAATGGTTGGTCCCTGGGGTGGGCTTCTCTCAAGTTTAAGGAAAGACTGGGGGATCAGGGCAGGGGATGAGGGTGGCTCACCTATTTCCTAAATGCAAGGGTAACAGTGGGCCAGGGGAGCCCAATTTCAGTGGGAAGCCCCTCCTATCAGTGTGTGTACATGTGACATTTGGTGGGGGGCTGTTGTAATAGTAGAGTCTTGGTATGGCACTGTAGGATAAGCACTGAACCCCAAGGTTGGTTTGAACCACAGGTTTGTGATTCAAACTCACCAACCGCTCCTCAGAAACCTACCTATACAGGGTCACTGTGAGTTGGAACCAACTTGATGGCACTTAATAACAACAGTTGTTTTAGTAATAGTAATAGCTAGCCTGGGTTAACCACTGTGGCACTGTAGGGTCAGTACTGGACAGCTAACCACAAGGTTGACAGTTCAAACCTACCAGCTGCTCCTCGGGAACCCTCCATATGGTAGCTATGAGTTAGAACTTACTCAGTAGCACTTAACAACAACAGATAGGCACTGTTTTATTCATCCTCATGTCAGCCCCATAGATAAATCCTTTTACTTTTGGGGAAATGGGGACACAGCAGGTTAAGCAACTTGTGGGCATTGACCTAGTTAATGGGGGAACTGAGAATCAAATGCAGTCATGGTCTGCTGGGGCCATGCCAGTCACCTCCAATGTCCCTTCTAGTGCTTTAAAAAAAAAAAAAAGTTGCCTTTGAGATGATTCCAACTCGTGGTTCCCCCGTGTGTGTCAGAGTAGAACCAGGCTCCACGGTTTTCAATGCTGGGTTTTTGGAAGCCAACTACCAGATCTTTCTTCTGGGTAGATTCGAACCACTAACCTTTTGGTTCATAACTGAGCACTTAACCATTTGCACCAACCAAGGACTCCTCCTCTGGTGCTAAGGGGCTATAGTTTTAGTTCTGACCCTGGTTTAGGGGAGGAAATTGTGGCTCACTCTTACAGTAACAGAAGGGGGCTAAAACCCCCATCTCCTAACCCTAGTCCAGGGCCCAGCCCAGTGCACCAGCATCGGAAGTGGAGCTAGAACACATTAGCCAGACAGCTTCTGGGAAAGGCCTTGAAAAGGTGGGGACACAGGCAGGAAGAGCTGGGCAGATGGAGCATACCTCTGGGTTCCAGGTATGGATTATTTGTAAAACTTGCTTGATACTTGGTATACAATTTTAATCTTTGGACTCCTAAAATTCTGAACAATTCTCAGCCATAATCTTGAATTTTGCTACTCTGCCATTCCATCTTTTTTTTTTTTTTTTCTGGAAATCTTGTTGGCTACAGTTTACCAGTTGCTGCCAGTTCCGATTCATGGAGACACCCTGTGTGTTTGAAGAACTGCGCTTGTAGGTCTTTAAGGCTGTAAGCTTTCAGAAGTAGATCAATAGACCTTTCTTCTGAAGGGCCTTTGGCTAGATTTGAACCCCTAATCTTTCAGTTGGTAGCCAAGTACTTAACTGTTTAACCCATCCAGGAACTTTAAGAGCCTGGGAACTTGAATTCTTCCTTCATTGTTCTCACTACCCTTTCTTATGTTTTCATCTTTATGTAATACTTTCTAAATATATTCCTTAGTTGTTGTTAAGTGCCGTCAAGTCAGTTCTGATTCATAGCAACCCAGTATAGGGTTTCTGAGGAGCAGCTGGTGAGCTTGACCCGCTGACCTTGTGGTTCAAACCGACCGTGCACTCCAGCTCATTAACCTACAGTGCCACACCAGGATTCCATATTCCTTAGTGTTGTTGTTGTTAAGTGCCATCGAGTCTGTTCCGACCCATAGTGACCCTGTACAGGGTTTCCGAGGGTGTAAATCTTTACGGGAGTAGAAAACCTCATCTTTCTCCCGCGGAGCAGCTGGTAGTTTCGAACCGCTGACCTTAAGGTTCACAGCCCGATTTGTAACCACTACGCTACCAGATATTCCTTAGTACTGCCTTCCAATTCATTCTTTGACACTACCTTAGTTGCTGTGTTGGTTATCTTTCTTAGCATTCGTTTCCCTCAAAGATTTTAGAATTTTGGTTTGTACGCTCATCTTGAGTGGAAGCCCGTTTTTCTCTTTGCCTCATGGCTCATCTCCTCTCACCTAGCTCACCTCACTGAGTGATTTTGAGTCACCTCCACCCAGTCCCTGACTCCCCCAGTGCAAGTTAGGTGTCATGGGTTAATGGTGAGCTATTTGTCCATGATGATCCTGAAATTATTCCCAAAGCCATGAGCAAACTGGCCCAGGCCCTGGCTGTATGAGCAGCTTCCAGCTTCCCTCTGCATTGAGCTTTCTGATATCAACTCTAGTGTTAGAATGGATCCCTGCTTCTTGTCAGCTTCCTTGTCTAGCTGGAAATGCCTCTTCATCAGTCCCCATTTTCAGTGAGCCTAGCCCTAGTCCTCCACCTCCCATGGGACATTGTTATTCTCCATACCCAGTGGACCAGGCCTTCAGCCCCTCTTACGATTTTGAGCTTCTCAGCCATTGAGATATATGCCATGTTGTTGAGCACGGATAAGTTTACTTCTTCTTGCTGTTGCTTTAAAAATGTTTTCATCTATCATTGCTAAGTCTTTAAAACAAGAAAGGTGGCAGGGAGAGCCTCCAAGTATCAACTAGTATTATTCTATCTTGCCTGGTGGTCTCTAATTCCTTATCCCTAAAAAAAGATGTTAATACCCTTTTCTGAAGAGTTACTATTGTAAGTCAGTACAGGGACTTTAAAAAGTTCGTGGGGGAAAAAATCTTACTATCTTTCCATTCCATTGTTCCATGAACTTTTTGAAGCTGCCTCATATTTGAGGCCTCCCTCCTCACCTAGCCCAGAAGTCCCCCTTTGAACTTGAGGTCCTTCCAGTCGGCAGAGACCCCCTTTTAATATGCAGATGTTGATGAAAGAAGAAATTCCTTAAAGCATTATCTTATGGAAACACTTTAGCAGAATGAAATGGCCTTCACAACTGAGCTAAGGGAATGAAAGGGCTGTCAAAGAAAAGGTGAAAAGGGAGAAACTGAATTGAGCAGTAAACTTAGTAACTTAGTAAAGGTCTGCTGGGGCAGGAGGTCCTATCCATCTACACCCACACCATTAGTTACTCACATTCCTTAAGAGTCCTGAGCTACCATGTACATAGAAGTCCCTGAGCAGTGCAAACAGGTAAATGGTCAGCTACTGACTGAAAAGTTGGCAGTTCGAACCCACCTAGAGGTGCCTTGAAAGAAAGGCAATCTCATCTGAAAAAGCACAGCCATTGACAACCCTTTGGAGCAGTTTCCTCTGACGCAGCTGGGTCACCATGGTTGGGATCTACTAGACAACAACTGGTTTTCTGTTTCTTTTTTTTTTTTTTTTTTTTTACCATGCATATACCTACCATCAACTTTCCCCAATCTCCAGAGTATTCCAGTGCCCAGAGAAGTCCAGAATAGCTTAGGATGAATTTTTCTTATCTTTCCTACAGCAAAGAATATGATGCTGTACTCTGTGCTATCAGTCTGCCCTTGAATTTCTGAGGCCGATCACTCTTAGGGTCAGGACTGCACCAGGTATACTGTGGACATTTAAGTGAACGTGGACGGGGAAATGAAAGTGCACGTGGGGTGTGAGACTGGGTGCCTGCAGGGACCATACCACGTACTGGATTTTCTTGCTCACTTTTGGAATTGGAAGTGACAGAGTAATTGGTTTTTAATGTCCTTTTTTTCTTAGAAAAAAAATATCTAACCACAACAAAGAGGTGGCTAAATAGAAACAGCATTTAAACTGTCAGATTTTAAGTGCTACGTGCAGCTGGTTCTGGGTCTGTGATAACAATTTGGAGTTCCGCCCTGCAGCAAAAGTCAAGTCCTAATGGAAGAACTTGAATTTTCTGATGGAACCTCTTGTTCCACTTTGCCCAAGTCCTCTTATCTTCCTTTCCTTTTGGCGCTTCACTTCCATCATCTCTGGCTGTAATTATAACTATTTGTTCTGGAGTTGAATGTCTCTGGGCCTGTCAGGCTTGCATTGAAGCCTGTCTGTGTGCACTTTAGTGGTACAGCAAGCAGAGCCTCAAGTCGTCTGCTTTTGAGGCATTTACACTCTAATGCATTTCTTCATTCAGACAGCACATACTTGTTGAGCATCTATGCATCCAACAAGCAGCCTTCTAGAGGAAGAGAAAGACCACCAACAATGAAGTCAGTCCCATCTTGTCACAGATGACAGTACAATGCTTTAGGGTACAGGGAAGAAGGAGTGCTGGGACTGCTGAGGGTGGTGAGGGGGGTCAGGGAAGGGATCACTGATCAAATGACTTTTGAGCACAGATCTGAACAAAGCATATTCTATATGGCTGTGTGAGAAGAGAGCATTCCAAGTAGTGGCTACAGCAAGTGCAAAGGCTCTGAGGTTGGCATATATTTTTGGTGTTTTTAAGGAACAACAAGAGTCATTGTAACTGAAGCCAAGTCAAGACTGGAGAGAGGAGGTCAGAGATGGAGGCAAGGGTCATATTGTTTTGGTCTTTGTAGATCATTATAAGACTTTGGGTTTTACTCTTAGTGACGTGGGAAGCCATCGGAAGGTCTTGAGTAGAGGAGAGATGTGATCTGACACCCACCCCCTTTCTAAAGGATCTGGCTGCTTTGTTGAGAATAGATTGTAGGCTGTAATGTCAAAGTCACCTACTATTTTATATTTCTTATTTGATATTACTCAATAGTGTTACCCTTAGAAGTTTCCATTTTAAAAATATGATATACATTTTACTCTTTTCTGATGATAAAATTCGTATGGATCTTTGAAGAACATTTATAATGTGTAGAAAAGTATAAAAAAATACACACCAAAAAGCAACAACGAACAAACTGTAGTCTTACCATCAAAAGACCATCACTGTTAACATTGTGGCATATTTACC